CTCTAAACGGATCATTCTCTGTGAACTAATCTTTCGCCTCGTTCTCGCAGATTCGTTTTATTTGTCACGTGAAAGAGCTCGGGTCTTTTTTGCTCTCATTCATCTTCACATTGTGGTGTGTTTTTATTTCTTAGCTTTTCGCATGGTTTTAATTGCTTATGGCATTTTGTGTACTTTGTAGACTTTGTCAGCGGAAGCAAACCATGTTGCCTTCAGTATTTAGTGTCGGAGAACCGCAGCCTTCTTTACAACGCCCACAATAGGGCTAAAGCGCCACCTGCTGTAAAACCAATGAGATGATTAGTTCAAGATTCGTTCACGACTCGTTCATTTTACTGTTCGAGAGTCAAAGATTCGAATCAATAAAAAGAGTCGGTCTTCCCATCACTACATCCTTTACTTCCCTCTCACTCCGCACCTCCAGCCACACACACAATCTCACCACGCCTCCCCACTCCCTGAACTATTAACCTTTTCAAACCATGAGCATAACGAAATGAGTATTACAATATGAAAAGAAAAAAGTGTGTGTGTGTGTGTGTGACACCGCACATACATAAAGGTTAAAAAAAGGTCCGAGATCACATATCACATCACATATAATTTGCATATTGATGGAATGGACAGTAAATCGTCTCGTTCCCAATACACGCTCTCGTCTTATTGCAAGATGTTCTAACAACACTATCGCTGCAATTGTTAATAACGTTTCTTCAACACTTGTTGCATTCTTTCACATCCACCCATATAACTGCAAACACGTTTATGAGTTAATCATCCATGAGTGTGTCTCTGATGTGCACATCACTCTGATGACTACTTGTTTTTTTGTTTTTTTTTACATTATTAGCAGTTTCCCAGCATCAGCACTAAGTGTCGCTAAAGGCTGACAGCTGTAGAAACGTGTGTACGGCAGCTCTGGAGCTGTCGTGAGGACCGCACATTTCTACGATCAGCTTGCAAGACCTGTGACTATCCCAGATGGGCTTTTTTAAAAACAAAAAGAGGCCAACAAAGGGAGGGCAACAGGAGTTTTGGACAAACTTAGGAGGATCTTTAACCAACAGCAGATAATATTTAATATTGTCTTATTTAACTGAAAAAAATATGAAATCTTTACAATTATAACAGGCGTGTAACTTGTCTGAAAAAATGACCAGGGAAACTTCTGATTCGCTGCCTTAAACACTAGATGCCATTTGCTCAAAAGTTGTAACATGATTGGTGTAAATGCTCCAAAGACCCGCCTTCTTTGCTGCCAACGTCACACAGGCGCTGAAACTCCGGTAAAGTAGTGATGTTTTGGTTGTCCATGCCGTCGCTTTCACCTCCATCCACGCTTCACTGAGGCTTCTCTTTCACAGGAGAGCCCCGGTGAGCGACTCCACACGCATGGAGGTGACCTCGGAAGGTGTGGCGGTACCGCTGGAGATGTCACCTGTTCCGGAGGAGGACGACAGTTTGAACAGTGACTGTGATTACGAGAGCCTACATGCTCATGTCTCAGTGGTCAACCACATGACAGCCGGAGCCGTGGCTGGTATCCTGGAGCACACGGTGATGTACCCCGTGGACTCTGTCAAGGTAACGCCGTCACACGTAGGCTTGTTTAAACGGGCTACAACACTACTGCTAACATTCTGGTAGTAGTTGCTAACCCTTATTAGCTTTAAAAAGGTTCAAAATGCTGTGCACAGTTAGCAGCAGCGTTAGCTCATAGAGGCTCAATAAACACAGAGCCCAAGGAGGTCAACGTTAAACATTGTATCACTGGCTACTAAATAATCTTAACTTGTGAAATATGCACACACTTTTCGGCTTCGAGGTGTCCAGGAATAGAGGACAAAAACGTTCTTTTCTAAACGTACTTCCCAAGTGCTTTGAGAAAGGAGCTATATTTAATTAGCAGACATAATTAAAACTAAGTATTTCATAACATTTAAGAAAAACTCAAGGTCAAATTAAGCCCATTAATATAAGCCCCTTTAAGAACTGACTTGATTCAAAAACAGACGTGAAGTTAAAAATCTTCAATATATGCATTACAAGAACTGTGTGGTTTTGTATTTAACCCTGTAAAACCCAAACCATTAAATAATTAACAGAAAATTCAAATTATTTAAACTTAGACCCTTTATTGGTCCCTCTGAACAAACAAACAAAAATTCAAATATCATTTTCCATATATGAGTTTCAATTTGTATCATATTTGATACATCGGGTCACAATGCTCAAAGATTCCTTTTTCCTGAACAAACAAAAACATAAATAAAACTCCAACAAATCTAACAAATTTGTAAATCCAAATATAAAAAGTGCTACCATAATGCAGTAATGAGAAATCCACTAATGGAACTGGCTGGGTGGAAGTCTGGAAAACATATTATATATATTTATATTATATATATATTTATATATATATATATATATATATACATATATACACTGCCTGGCAAAAAAAAAGTCACCACCAAACAAAAGGGTCATACA